TGTTTCTAACTCTTTATCCCTCTCTCTTCCTCTCTGTAAAAAAATCAATAAAATATTTAAAAAAAAAAGATTCCTCTCCTAGCCACGGCCTGGAATAGTTTTTTATACTTGTTTAAATAAAAGTTTATTGAAATACAATTCATATACTTACATTTCATCTATTTAAAGTATACAATGTTTCATACATTTACAGAGTTATGCAATCACCACAATCAATTTTAGAACATTTTCATCACCTGCCCAAAATTCCCCACACCCCTTAGTGGTCACTCCCCATTGCCCCTCCCTGAGCAACCACTGATCCTCTTTCTGTTTCTGGATTTGTCTCTTCTGGACCTTGTAAGCTTGGGTTTTATTTATGTTATTTATCTACTTTTGCTTGAGTTTTAATCATGTTCCCTAGGTCAGTCTGGTGCTAGATTTGGGAACCACTGGCTTAGAGCCGTCCTGAAGTCCTCAAGTCACCCCATTTGGGTCCCAGGGCTGGCTTGAGTTGAGGTAGGGCATGCTAACCCATGTCTCCAAGGAGTATGGGCCCCAATGGCTGAGCACACAGTGGATCCAGCTGCTACGCACAGCGAATCTGTCCACACTGTGCTGCCCTGCAGCAACAGGACAGAGCATGATGGCAATAGTGTCGTCCCAAAGAGCAGGATGCTGCCGTGTCTGTGAGCTGAGGTTGGGAGGAGAGGTGTGTGACAGCTTGTGGGGAGGGAAAAAGTGGTGGGAGGCAAGCAGGACCCACCATTGTGACGTGAGTGGAAGGGAAAGGTCAGCTCACCAGGTTGGCCCAGCCTGTAGGACTGAGTGGGCTGTGTCCTTGCAGGTACCAGTGACCTTGGAGGACATGGCCGTGTACCTGTCCCAGAAGGAGTGGGGGTGTCTGGACCCAGCTCAGCAGGACCGAAGTCAGGACATGCTGCCAGAGAGTGAAGGTAACATGTGGGGAGACCCTGACTGCTAACCATTAGGAACCATGATGTCTGGTGTGGGCCAGTCCTAGAGGGACGGAGGCTCTTTGCCTCATGTTGGATGTAGCTGGCCTGGCATTTCCCCCAGGTGTATGTTTCCTTCAGGACCCAAGACCCAGGCCACCTCCCCGCTCACACCTTCCCTGGCTCTCTACTGCCTACAGGAGTCAGTCTAGAAGTTCTCAAACTGTAGTGGCCTGAGGAATCATGGGAAGCATGTTAGAAATAGGAATTCACCGGCCCCATGCCCAGGGGTTGGTTTAGTAGGCCAGGTGTGCTCTCTGGCAATTTTGCTTGGTATCCAGCTGCATACAGCCTGCAAAGCCAGGTTTGCTGGTGTCTTGTCAGTGGCGCAGCTGCAGTGGGGGCAGTGTGGTGGCTCACCCACATCCCAGGCAGATGCCCAGAGCTGTCCTGAGTTCCTTCTTTCATTCCTGCACCCATTCAATTGGTCCAGTTTCCCTTCAGCCTCTGTGCTGCCCTCAGCCCCCATGGGTAGAGCTGCTCCTGGCAAGGCCTTGGCCATCAATGGCCAATGCCCCGGCTCCCCACTCAACACTGTCTCTTCTCTTTCCACTTGTCTTGTCTTGCCAATTCTGTCACCCACTTATCCCCTAAATGTTTTCTAAAGGAGTTGAGATGCTGCTTTGTATCAGTTGGAGGGCCTTGTCTTGTCTTGCCAATTCTGTCTTTCCACTTGTCTTGCCAATTCTGTCACCCACTTATTCCCTAAAATGTTCTCTAAAGGAGTTGAGATGCTGCTTTGTATCAGTTGGAGTTCTCCAGAGAAACAGAGCTAATAGGATGTGTATGTGTAAAGAGATATATTTTAAGGAATTGGCTCACATGATTGTGGAGGCTGGCAAGTCCAAAATCTGTATGGCAAGCCAGCAGGCTGGAAATTCAGGCAAGATTTCTATGCTGCAGTCTTGAGGCAGAATTCCTTCTCTGGAAAACCTCAGGATTTGCTCTTATGGCCTTCACCTGATTAGACGAGGCCCACCTCCAGTTAGGAGGGTGATCTGCTTTCTTACAGTCAGTTGATTTGTAAATGTTAATCACATCTACATAATACCTCCAACAGCGACATCTACATTAGCATTTAAACCAAACAACAACATAGCCGTAATCATTACATACTTTCCTTTACATCCTCATTTTTTTCAAACTAAGAATCGGTGGACTGAATGAAAATGAACCTTTCCACTGCCTCCTAGAAGGAGAACACTAATTTTCTGTGCACACTATTGCTGGACCATTGCCCCATGCTCTCTGTTCCGTTTCTCCCCCACTTAGTTGTAATTCTTGGCCACTTAGTCTCTATTGTGATGAAACTCCAGACTCCTCCAGGGTGTCAGGGTTTCCCTCCCAGAGCCAGTGAAAGCCTTGAGCCCTGTTTCCTCACTTCCTCTCCCTCAGAGGAAACAGTCTGCACAGAAGCAAAACCTGTCTTTCAGAGCATCTCACTTTTCTATAGATTCTTCTGATGCCCGTTTGCCCTCACGAGGAAAGGATTTGCAGTCCCCTGGTTCTAATACAGCCCACACTCACATCCTCCCTTCTCTTGTCCTGTAAGCAGGACTCCCCAGGCCCTACCTGACTGCCCGACACGGGTGAGGAGAAGGCCTGTGGGACCCAGCTCTTGCTGCCTTGCGACCTAGGGATGTCTCTAGTGGTGCCAGCTCAGGTGGCGAGGGGGCGGGGTCAGCAAGAAGGAAACAGAAGTCCCAGGTTAGCTTCTGTCCTCTCCTGGGGTTTAAACCATGGTGATTGTGTTTGTGTAGTTCAAACCCAAGGACTAGAGGAGGAGTCAGCAGACCTTTTTTTTTTTTTTCCAAATATATACTTTCATTGATTTCAGAGAGGAAGGGAGAGGGAGAGAGAGAGAGAGATGGAAACATTAATGATGAGAGAGAATCATTGACTGGCTGCCTCCTGCACGCCCCTCCACTGGGGATTGAGCCCGCAACCCAGGCATGTGCCCTTGACCGGAATTGAACCCAGGACCCTTCAGTCCACAGACCAATGCTCTATCCACTGAGCCAAACCGACCAGGGCAGCAGACCTTTTCTGTAAAGGGACAAATAATAAATTGTTCAGGTTTGTGGGCCATACAGTCTCTGCCATCTTGGCGTGAAAGCAGCCACAAAAGAACAGAAAACTTTATTTTCAGAGATAGGCACTGCCTCTGGGTCCAGATGTGCTGACCCCTGCCCAAGGGAAAAGCAAGGGGAGATAGTGACCTTGAGAAAGGTTTGGGCTCCAGCAGAAATCCTCAATGGAGAAGGAGAGTTATACCGGATCAGTCTGGGACTCTATACTGCCCGCAGGAGCAAAAGTGAAACTAGTTCCCAAGGGAGAAATGAGGTCAAGGAGCCAGGCCAAGTGTGAGCCAGATCAGAGAGCCCCCGAGTGTCACACTGTCAGCACTTACTCTCTTGAACCTACACCTGGGGGTGGAATTGCTGGGTCATGTGACTATGTAACCTTTTGAAGAATCGCCAGACTCAATTCCTTTTTAAAAATTCTCACAACAGCTTTAACCAGTTTGGCTCAGTGGATAGAGCATCGGCCTGCGGACCAAAGGGTCCCAGGTTCGATTCCGGTCAAGGTCACATACCTCAGTTGCAGACTCATCCCTGGCCTGGGCCCTGGTCAGGGCTCGTGCAGGAGGCAACCAATCGATGTGTTCTCTCTGTCTTACCTTCTCTCTTCCACTCTCCCTAAAAATCAATGGGAAAAATATCCTCAGGTGAAGATTAACAAAACAAACAAACAAAAAAATCTCACAACAGACCTGTGAGGTGGTTACATCTTAATTGTACACATGTGAGAATTGAGGCTCAGTAAATGTGAGCTGAAGCCCATGTTTGGCTTCTGGGTCTTAGAGCGGACATATCTCAGGGTGACAGAAGGTTCTGTCCCTCCTTGTCGGGTCAGTGTGTGCCAACTGTGAGCTTTTCAGGGGGTTCTGCTTGAAGCCATCTGCTCCCCAGCCCCAACCCCCTCGCCCTGGTGCCCCAGCATGCCTCATGCTCAGGTGGGGTTTGCCTTATGTCTCAGACAAGGAAGCAGAATAAAGCACTTGCCCAAAGTCACACAACCTGGAGGGATAGAGCCAGGGTCCGTTCCAGGGTCCTTTATTCTGTGCTTGTGTCACCACGGTGGTCACTCTTGTACTTGGGTCTGCAGAGGGTTCAAGGGCTGCCCCCAAGTACACAAGCAGGAGGCTGAGGATCTGGGTCACCAGGCCTTCTGGTCCTGCTCCAAACAGAACAACCTAGAGCAGGGTCTCTCTCCCTGCGCACTATTGACATGAGGGCTGGGTCGTTTTCTGTTGTGGGGCCATCAGTGTACCAGAGACTATACATCAGCATCCTTAGCCTCCACTCACTAGATGCCAGTTGCAACACTCCAGGCCCTAAACATAACCACTAAGACATCTCCAGACATTGTCAAGTGTTGCCTGAGGTTCACCACTGCCCCTGGCCTAGAGGTTACGAGCCCAGACTCCAGAGACAGACTACGGGCCCTCTTAACTTACCAGCTAAGTGACTCTGGTAAGTTCCCTAACTTCCCTGTGCCTCAGTTTCTTTTTTAAAAATATATATTTTATTGATTTTGTACAGAGAAGAAGGGAGAGGAAGAGGGAAGAGAGTTAGAAACATCGATGAGAGAGAAATATCAATCAGCTGCCTCCTGCACACCCCCTACTGGGGATGTGCCGCAACCAAGGTACATGCCCTTGACCGGAATCGAACCTGGGACCTTTCAGTCTGCAGGTCGATGCTCTATCCACTGAGCCAAACCAGGTAGGGCGTGCCTCAGTTTCTTTGTCCATAAAATGGGACAGTAACAGCACCCACCTCATGGGCATTACAAGGATTAAACAAGTTGCCGTGTGTTTATAACAGCCTCTGGCCATGGCGTTAGCACCTCACATCAGGGTCTGACTGACATGCTCCGTGTTTTGAGGGGGATTTGAAGAGCATTGCCCTCCATTTCCTCAGAAGGGCTGCCCACTCAGCCTTTGCCTTCTTATCAGAAGCTCCCCTCCTCCTCAGGAACTCTGCTTTCTCTGTCTCAGGCCGTGGAATGCAGTTTAAGGATGAAGAAGACACACAGATGAGAACAGAATGGGACCGAGTGCTGTCGGCTCGGTGCAGGGGTCCCAGCTCCCCATTCCTAGGTCACAAACCGGCCCCCGTCAGGGGGTTGACCAAATCTGAGCAACTTCTGGAAAGAGGGGGGCCCTCCAGGGTGGCAAAGCCATACACGTGCCCCGAATGCGGCAAAAGCTTTAGCAAGACATCCCACTTGACCAAGCACCAGCGCATACACACCGGCGAGCGACCGTACCAGTGTCCGGTGTGTGGGAAGGGCTTCAGCGACCGCTCCAACTTCAGCACCCACCAGCGGGTCCACACGGGCGAGAAGCCCTACCAGTGTGCCGAGTGTGGGAAGCGCTTCAGCCAGAGCTCCAGCCTGGTCATCCACCGCCGGACACACACCGGGGAGCGGCCCTATGTGTGTGCCGAGTGTGGGAAACGCTTCAGCAACAGCTCACACTTCAGCGCCCACCGCAGGACGCACACAGGCGAGAAGCCCTACACATGCCCGGCCTGTGGCCAGGGCTTCTGCCGGGGCACCGACCTCCACAAACACCAGCGAACCCACAATGGGGAGAAGCATCCACATAGCTATACCAAGGGGGTGCAGCCACTACCCAGACCCTCGAGGCTCCAGGAGTTCCCAGGGCCAAAGCCTGACTACGTGCTCAGTTCATGAAGCTGCCAGAGCCGTTACCCAGAACCAGAAACGCTGACCTTAAGGCACCTTCACATGAACTCTGCTCCCCTGGGCCTGGTGTGAGGACACAGCAGGGGACATTTCAGGTGGAATGCTGGGCACAGGGCCCGGTGTATTCGGTTCTAGGGCTGCTGAATAAATGACCACACGCTGGCTGGCTTACAACAACCGGAATTAATCTGTCCCTCCTGGTGTCTACAGCACTGGTGTCCTCTGGAGGCTCTGGTAGAGAATCCTGTGCCTCTTCCACTTCCCCTGTGGCCCACAGACCCTGATGTTCCTGGGCTTGTGGCAGCATCACTCCGTGGCTGCGTCTGTCATCACACGGCCTTCTCCCTGTGTCCTCTCCTCTTCTAAGGATATAGTCATTGTATTTACTGGCCCCCCTGAATGACCTCATCTTAACTAATTACATCTACAATGTCCCTATTTCCAAATAAGGTCACATTCTGAGGTTCTGGTTGGACTAGAATTTGAGGGACACTTTCTAACCACTGTAGGGGAAGCTGCAACGGCTGCAGTGGCTTATGGCATTACATACCCCAGCCTTCCCCTCCAACCTTGCTACACTTTCTAAATGTAGGTGGTGGGGGTTTTTCCTACATTCCAGTGGTGTCAATGAGGAAATGGGGTGCCTGACTGGTGTGGCTAAGTGGTTGAGCATTGACCTATGAACCAGGAGGCCTCGGTTTAATTCCCGGACAGGGCACATGCCCAGGTGTGGGCTCAATCCCCCGGTAGAGGTCATGCAGGAGGCAGCCAATCGATGATTCTCATCATTTATGTTTCTCTGGTAGGGGTCATGCAGGAGGCAGCCGATCGATGATTCTCATCATTTATGTTTCTCTCTCTCCCCCTCTCCCTTTCTGAAATCAATAAAAATAAATTTTTAAAAAGGGAGATGGGGTGATTTGGGTGTTACCTTTGAAGATCCACAGTTTCGTAGGATGGATGCCTGACTCCATCTCCAGACCTCCCCAACCCATGAGGAAGCCTGGGGATTTGACTGGCCTTGCCATCCTCCCAGGGTAAGGGGCCAGAGCTGCCTCTGCGCCAGCCCCAAGTGGCCGTGTTCCAGGATACAGGCCAGTCTTGGTTGCCCTACTTTGTCTGAGGCAGACATGCCTCTATATCCATGGTCTCCTGAGTGGCTGAGGGAAGAGGTATAGAGTCCTTGTCCAGTTTAGTCATCTCTGGAGTCATGGGGCAGCTGCTGAAGTCACTGGTTCTGGAATATTTTATCCAGAAGTGTGACTGTTCCTTATTGCTGGGTGGCGTTGGCCCTCATGCCAGTTCTTGATGCTCCACTGTTTTGTCACTTAATTGCTGTATATATTTTCACTTTCTACACAACCCAGGTTCCAGGGCATGTGACAGTTCTCCCTTAATTATGTCAGTCCTCCTCCCAGCCCCATTGTTCTCTGTCCTGCATATCGCTGGAGAATGGGGTCGCCTAGCTTAAAGATGGTTTTTACCTTCTAGGCCAGCTTCCAGAGCTCTCGTAGGACAAGTATACCCAGCCAGATCTAGCTGGTCCAACACTGCCGACAACCCGCCCCCACATACACACAGCCAAGAGCCCCACCTCAGTTCTCTCAAGTCCCGCCTGGTGCCGGAGGAGGCTGTCCTCTTCCTGGTCTGATGGGCCCATCATGTGCCTGTTCCATGATATGGAACATGCAGTGCTATGATGTAGGACTTTTCATTAGTCTTCTTTTATAGACGGGGAAACTGAAGCCACGAGACCTCTAAGAACCTTATCCAAGTGGCGGAACAGGCTTTCAATCCAGGTATAAACTCCCACCGCCTCATCCTCCCAGCTTACTTTGACAGAATAATTCAAAGTTGAACTTGGAACAAAGTTTCTTTTCTATTACTGTGAAACATCCTAAATGAACTTACTGGCATCAAAAGGGGTAGAGATGGGGGAAATGGGGTTAAAGGAAAAAAATGGCCTTTGCTCTTGACAGCTAGGCTGGCAGCACAGGTGGAGGTGTGCAGCACTGAGGCTGCCCTGTCCTGTGTGTGCCCCAGAACTGAGGGTGTGGGGCCTCCACAGGTGGGACAGGGCTTGGGGACCCCAGACGACAGCAGCCTGCCACCTTCTCTGCAGGAACGTCTCCTTGGGGGCTCCTATGGCCTTGTGGAAGCCCCTGTTGCATCTGGCTTCTAATGAAAATGCCCTTCATTGTTGTGAGTGGGCGCTGGTTGTGGGAACTCTGTGGGCAGATCAATAGTGTCTGTGGCCCTGATCGTGACTTCCTGTGGCTGGCTGAGGCCCTGCAGGGCTTGTCTTGCCTGGTGCAGAGCTAAATGGGAAGAGACCCTTGCCCACCCTCAGCAGATGGCAGCCAACTGTGACCCTAGCTGAGTGCTGGAACATGCACCCAAATGCCAAGGACCCTGCTGGACCACCCCAGTCCACAGCATGGGAAGACCCCAGATGACTTTCCTGCTCTACCCATAGGGCAGGCGAGGAATGGGGTGGGAGACTGACGAGCAAAATCTTGGAAACAAGTTGGGGAGGGAACAGAGGTGCCATGTATCAGGGCTTCAGCCTGTTACGAAGGGACTATGAAAATGAGGGTGGGGGGTGGGGGATAATGCTTGCAAAGAAACAGGGTGAGAGACGCGGGAGTTCCTCCTGTGGGCCCTCAGCTTGCTGGCTCTCCACAAGGATACCTTAGGAAATGAGGACAGTTTCGGGTGTTAGAGCATTCAATATTCTCTCTGTATTTAAAGGCCAACTTCACCTTTAGTTTGGAATAACCGTAGAACCTCTATGTGCCTTTGTGTCTTAAAGAAAAAAAGAGAAATCTCAAAAGTTCATTTAGTGTGTGTGTGGTGTGGTAAGTACACAAACTAGCGAGTATCCAGGGACCCAGAAAATCAGGCTAAATTCTCTTTCAAGACCCTTTCCACCCTGAAAGTCTGTAAGTATGTTTTCACAGTTTTTAAAAAGACCTTGTATGATGAAAATAACAGATGTACATTAATGGAAAAAATACAGAAATGGACAAAGATGTATAGGCTCGCAGTTCAACCATCAGAACAAAACCATTGTCTTCATGGGCTTTCCTTCCACGCCCTCTCAGAGGATTAGGGTCACCTGAGTTGTCTTCATGCTGTACAGTGTATAAGTTTGTGCTGGGATCTCTGCTGTAAATGCATAAAAATGTTCTGACCAAATTCTAACAGAGAGCTAGGTGACGGGTCCAGTCTGAGAGGCCCTGCACTGCAAAAGCACCTGCTAACGGAAACGGGAGAGTGAAGGGACCATCAGACCTGAGTGTGTTGACTGAGTCAACCCATCCCAATAACCTCCCAAGATCCAGTCCCAGAGGCATTTACAGTTGGCCCAGAGGAGATACCAGGGCCTCTGACTATCCCTGGCCCAAGAGGGTCCCCAAGGGCCCCAGGACTTCCTCCTGAGTGTCTGGCCAGGGCATTCTGCCTTACTCAGAGTGTTACATGTTGCTTCCTTCCAGCCCCAGATCCAGCTGTATCTTCAGGAGCCTTCTGGCTCCTAGGAACCTTGTTGGCAGGCCACTGGGGCTGAGCCACCCCCTTCCGAAAAGCCCTGAGCTGCTGGAGAAGGTGACTTTTCCCAGTACAGTCCCTGTAACACAAGAGAACCACCTCAGTCAATGCCAAGTGGAGGCCAAACCTCCCAATGCTTCGCCACTGAAACAGGGCACACACAAAGCCAGTGCTTCCAGGAGCATTTCCCTAGTTCTCAAGATGTAAATAAATGATTGCAGCTTCCCACCCTTGCTGAGTCACAATTCATGTCATCGTGTTAAACATGTCTGGGATGAAGCCCATGTGACCTTTCTCAACCCAAATTTTCTTCCCTCTTTTTTCCTATAATGCTTGATCATGGACCAGAGTATGGGAAAAGTTGCATTAGACTGACATTCTCAAAGGATAGGATCAGCAAGCTTTCCAATTCCAAAAATGGACACTGCTACAGCATGATTGTAACTCGCCAGTGACAACAATGGCCCTCCCGCCTCCCAAGGAGACTTGCCCCACAACCCCCCTCCCCCGCCTGAAGGAGACTTGTGCCTTCTCTAAATCTGACATTTCACATCTTAATTCACCCAGGCCTTTTATCACTTTACTCTACTTTCCCTTCACTTCCACTGCCATCACCAATTGGGGGCGACATCAATTTGGGGAGCTGTTTTTCAGAGCAGGCTGAGGCATCCTTGGTGATGACGGGGAACAACAGCCAGGCTGAGATGGTACTGGGCCCCAGGTGGACTCCCAAGACTACCCTCTCCACCTCCCCAGACCCCCCCACACCCTCATGTGCTGGCTTGGGTGCAACACATAGAGCTGAAAGCACAAACATTAAATGTGCCAGGCCAAGGGCTTGTGCGGAAGCAACAGGGAGCAGCCCCAGGCAGCAGGAGCCCGTAGTGGTTACCGTAGCCCCCCTGGGCCTTGCCAGTCTCTCCGAGCAGCTGTCTCCTCTTCCCCTGCCTCCTCACTGTCAGAGGAGCTGGAGCTGGAGCTGGAGCCGGAGCTGGAGCGGGGGCAGAGGAAACGAGGGTTTGCTAGATGTGCCCCAATCCACCCTGACCAGGCCAGGCTCCTACCAGGACTTGGAGTGCCCAGGCCTCCCTGGTAACCCAAGGCAGGAGGATGGGCAGGCCAGCCAAAGCCCAGCCAACCCAAACCAAAGGGCCACTGAGCTTCCTGCCAGGTGGTAGAGGGAAGCACCCCAGGGCGATGTACCCCACCTAGACTGTTTGCTTAGACCTAGAAAGATTGCTGTCTGCCTCTGCTTCCTCCCTCTCTGCTGGGAGAACCTCCTGATGACCATGTGGGACTGTTGGCTCCTGGCTAAGAGCACTTCTCAACTGAGCGGTGCTCCCAGGACTTGCCCATGCCCAAGTCTTTCCATCCCTTGAAGTCTCTGTTCCCCTCTAGGCCAATGTGTCATCCACAAAACAGTGGGTTTGCTGCAGGGCTGTCATTGCTCTCTGTACCTTTCCAATGCCCCCTGGTCTGATGGCTCTGTGGGCCTCAGGTCGATGAAGATGGTGGGAGGCTCCACTGGGCTCCTTAGCCGACGCTGACTCAGCTCCGTCAAAGCACATCTGAGATGAGAAGAGCAGGGGTGCTGAGTCACTTCTCAGTGATTACAGGGGACCTGTTGCTGGGCTACTGGCTGCCACTGACTGAGCGCCCACTGTGTGTGGGGCACTGAGGAGGGCCTATCAATGAATTACTTTACTCTTCAGAACAACCCTTAAGATTTAGGCCAGTGCCATCCAATAGAACTTTTTGTGATGATTGAAATATATCTGTGCTTTCCATCGTGGTAGCCACTTGTTGCAATTTACATTTAGGCTAACTAAAATTAAATTAATACAATAAAAATTCAGTTTCCCAGTTGCCCAGGCCATATTTCAAGGGCTCAGTAACCACATGTGGCCAGTGGCTACAATTGAACAGTGCAGGTCTAGACATTTCTGTTGACACTTTGGATTGCCAGGGACAGAAACCACTCCAACTAACTCAAGGGAAAAGGGAATCACTGGCTCTCAGATTCTTAAAACGAGTGGAACAACCCAAGTGTAGGAAGGGCAGGGATACAACTGGGCCCTGTCCCCATCTCTGCTCCTCCCCACCCCCCAGCTTCAGTGTTTTTCACCACAACTGGCCTTTCTCCTCCCTCTCACCTCTACCCAGATACCGGGGTAAAAATTCCCAAAGGAAAGGCTCTAATTGGCCTTGTTGGGGTCAGCTATTCAGGGCTGGCTCAATTAACAGGGGCCAGAAGACCAGGGCCCTATGCCCCTGGAAGACCATGTGGATGGTGAAGGGAGGGTTCCCATGGGGTGGGGGAAAGAGAGGTGCTTTGGGGCTTGAGTTCCAACTTTGCTACATATGACCTGGGTAAGTCAATATCTCTAAGCCTCAGTTTCCCCATCTATGAAATGGAGATCATAGTAGCACCTACTTGATCAGATTTTTTTAGATGAAATGAGAAATATGCATCAAGTGCCCCATCCACAATAGGCTGCCAGGCTGGGGCCAGTTCTAAAGAGGGCAGGGCCATGACTGGCAAGAAGTCCCACCTGCTTCTGGCCTCCAGCTGCTCATTGTCCGGGCGCATGTCTGCAGGCACCTTCCAGGCAGAGGAAGAGGCTCTGAATTGCTTGGCACATAGGAGGGTGAGCTGTTCCATGAGCCTGTCCTGGGTGCTGGGCTTGGCATGATCTGACCAGAGAGTAAGGGAGGCTGACTAATGGGGACTTGGTCACTGACTTACAGAGCCCTGACCCCTCATGTGGACGAACCTCCAGCTTGTACATGGAGAAGTGAGGGGGCCTGGGAGGCCCTGCCCCACCCCTTTGGTATCCCACATCCGCTCAGGAGGGCTGGGGGAGTGGTATCTTCAGGAGCAGAGAGGCAACTCATTGGGGTGACTTCTTAACACTTTATCCCATTCCCTAGTTCCACTTGTGTTCACTTTTAAAAAAATAGCAATTGGATTATCCTCTGTAGATTTTTTCACTGAATATATTACATCTTTCCAAGTTAGTGTATACAGACTAACTGCAGATTGTTCTGTGGTTTAACAGATTTAGCTAGACTCCTATTGAATATGATACTAAATATGGGTTGCTTTCAATGTTCACAATTATAAACAAACTGCAACAGAGATGAATATCCTTGAATACATATCTTTACCCACCTATGTGAGTATGTGTTAGGATAGACTTTAGAAGTGGAATAGCTTGATCAAAGGCTTATATGCCTTTTAAATAGAAAACATTCTGCCACATTGTCCTCAAAAAAGGGGTACTAATTACAGCCCCCACTCTCACCCCACCTTATAGGGTTTCTCCACAGCCTGCTAACAGGGGCTAAATTACAAACAAAACCTTGTTAAAAACAGCACAGGGTTATTAGCCCCAGAGGAGCATTCACTCTGAACTGGAGGCCTAACTGAATGTCCTGGTTTCTTTGCCTCAGACCTGCCCCCACTCACCTTTACGGGCCAGGCCTGGAGGGGATGGAGAGCTTTTGTTTTATTTACAGAACTAGAGGCCCAGTGCATGAAAATTCATGCATTCGGGCGTCCCTCAGCTGGCCTGCATCCTCTCGCAGTCTGGGACCCCTCAAAGAATGTCCACCTGCCAGCTTAGGCCCACTCCCCTGGGGATCGGGCCTAAGCTGGCAGTCAGACATCCCTCTGGCAGCCTGGGAGTCCTCGGGGGGATGCCAACTACTGCACTTACCGCTCCCCTGCAGCCGCCTCTGTGGAAGGGAGGGCACCGGGACCACCATGGCTGGCCTGGCAGCGCGGGCTCACTGACCTCCCCCCACCACTGGTCCTTCCACCATCTGGTCTAATTAGCATATTAGCTCTTAGAATTGCCCACAGCAAGGCCACAAGTGCACTGACAGTAATCAACATCCCTGGCTTTCTTTTGTAAACAGGGAGGCAGTAGAAGCAGGATTGTGTTTAGAAGCTGGCTGAAGAAGTGCCAAAGGCAGGATTACTTTCCACCCAGAAGGAAAGAGAGGGAGGCTTCAGGTGGTGGGTAGGAGGAAAAGGTGAAGGTCAAGGGCAGGGACTACTTCTGAAGGGCTCTCGTATCCCCAGGGCCTGGTCTATGCCTGGCACATAGCAGGCAGTCACACATACAGTGAATGAATGAGTGAGTGAGTGAGTGAGTGAGTGAGTGAATAAATGAAGTCTTTCAAGGTCTGGCACCTGAATGTTCAAGACAGTGAGGGTTGAGCAGCAGAGAGGACATGGTGGGCTGCAAGGCTGACTGTACCCAGCCCATGAACCTATTTTATTGAGAGGCCCTGGAAGGAGCTGCTGTGGAGATGCCCTTGGGCCCTGGTGTTTAAGGTCAGACCTGGGCCCTGGAGGTGATCAGCTGCCCACCACACTCCTCTAGGTGCTCCATCTCCCCGGTCGTCTTCTTGTCCAGCCAGACTCTGAAGGATGTGATCCAAATCCCACTCTTCAAGTTGCTGAAATGATTTAAAGTGGAGATTACAAGGCTGCCGCAGGGTGCCGGGAGCAACAGAGGCTGGCATGGGATGTCCCGGAGTAGGAATCAGGACTTGGAGGCATGCCCACATTTGCAGCTGGGGCTTACTCACCCACCCTGTGTGGGTTGCAGAATGAACCACCAGGGATCTGCACCTCTTTCCTGTGCCTTTTCGGTTAATACTTCTGTGTCTGGCACAAAGGTATATTTTGACCTGGAGAAAACCTGGTGTCTTTTTAAAACTTTGTAGGTTCATACAGGTTTAAAACATTGGTAGGTTAAAAAGTTTTGCTCTTAAGAAACAGACTGTGCCCAGCCAGCGTTGCTCAGTGAACCAGGAGGTCATGGTTCAATTCCCGGTCAGGGCACATGCCTGTGTTGCGAGCTCAGTCCCCAGTGTGGAGTATGCAAAAGGCAGCCAATCAATGATTCTCTCTCATCATTGATGTTCCTATCTCTCTCTCGTTCCCTTCCTTTCTGAAATCAATAGAAAATATATTAAAAAAAGAAAAGAAACAGATAATTTCAGGCAGGTGCTGAAAACTGGATGCTGTGGGGGCAGAGTTGGTGTGATCAGAGGAGAGAAATTAATCAGGAATGAATGTTTCTTATGTATGACCTTGCAGCCCCTTGCAGCCCTGTAGGTGAATGAAAATAAAAGTGTTTAGAAGTGAACTGAAAGAATGGAATTGATAAGAATGGAATTTGTGAAAATGACCTCCATGAACACCTTGATGCCATGTTTCCCTAAGTTGTTAAGAAAATTGTTCAAATTTGTAAATAAAGCAAAATAGAGAATTGCATGACCTTTCAATGTCATGCTGGAGCTTTTCTAAGAAGCTCGCCTTCCTAGGGGAGGTTGGTTTGCACAACTGATCAGGGCCCACCTGTTTTACCACTTTGTAAAACTGAGAAAATGCAATGGTAGAGTAGAGAAGATAGCCCCAAAGGTATCAGTTCGGTTGCCGGGTAGGATGTTGACTGATTTTACACTTAATGTAGCAATTTTATCTCAGCATTCAATTCTTTTCTTCCAATGTCTTACAAAATCCTAGTCTCTCATAATCTCTTTAAACTGCTTTTGTCATCCTGCTGGTTCTCTCATTCATGAGCGAAATCCAGTGTTAACAGGTATTTACTATTTGTATGTAAATACCTGTTAACAGGTATTTTGACCTGGAGAAAACCTGGTGTCTTTTTAAAACTTTGTAGGTTCATACAGGTTTAAAACATTGGAAGGTTAAAAAGTTTTGCTTTAATGTTTGAGAATTAGCCCAGCCAGCGTTGCTCAGTGAACCAGGAGGTCATGGTTCAATTCCCGGTCAGGGCACATGCCTGTGTTGCGAGCTCAGTCCCCAGTGTGGAGTATGCAAAAGGCAGCCAATCAATGATTCTCTCTCATCATTGATGTTCCTATCTCTCTCTCGTTCCCTTCCTTTCTGAAATCAATAGAAAATATATTAAAAAAAGAAAAGAAACAGATAATTTCAGGCAGGTGCTGAAAACTGCATGCTGTGGGGGCAGAGTTGGTGTGATCAGAGGAGGGAAATTAATCAGGAATGAATGTTTCTTATGTATGACCTTGCAGCCCCTTGCAGCCCTGTAGGTGAATGAAAATAAAAGTGTTTAGAAGTGAACTGAAAGAATGGAATTGATAAGAATGGAATTTGTGAAAATGACCTCCATGAACACGTTGATGCCATGTTTCCCTAAGTTGTTAAGAAAATTTTTCAAATTTGTAAATAAAGCAAAATAGGGAATTGCATGACCTTTCGATGTCATGCTGGAGCTTTTCTAAGAAGCTCACCTTCCTAGGGGAGGTTGGTTTGCACAACTGATCAGGGCCCACCTGTTTTACCACTTTGTAAAACTGAGAAAATGCAATGGTAGAGTAGAGAAGATAGCCCCAAAGGTATCAGTTCGGTTGCCGGGTAGGATGTTGACTGATTTTACACTTAATGTATTTTATCTCAGCATTCAATTCTTTTCTTCCAATGTCTTACAAAATCCTAGTCTCTCATAATCTCTTTAAACTGCTTTTGTCATCCTGCTGGTTCCCTCATTCATGAGCGAAATCCAGTGTTAGCAGGTATTCACTATTGGTATGAGAATGGGAGCTTTAATGTTTGAGAATTATGCTTTGACAGAGTCTGTTCTCTATCTATTTTTAAAAATTATTTTATTATTTATCTGTTTGTTTTTTTTAAATATATTTTTATTGATTTCAGAGAGGAAGGGAGAGGGAAAGAGAGATAGAAACATCAATGATGAGAGAGAATCATTGATTGGTTGCTTCCTACACACCTCCCACTGGGGATCGAGCCTGCAACCCAGGCATGTGTCCTCGACTGGAATCGAACCTGGGACCCTTCATTCCACAGGCCGATGCTCTATCCACTGAGCCAAACCAGCTAGGGCTCTGTTTGTTTTTCAACATCATTTTTTAAAATCCTCACCTGAGGGTATTTTTCCATTGATTTTTAGAGAGAGTGGAAGAGAGATGGAAATATCAATGTGAGAGAAACATCGATTGGTTGCCTCTTGCACGTGCCCTGCAGTCTGCATCTGAGGTACATGCCCTTGACTGGAATCGAACCCGGGACTCTTCAGTCCACAGGCCGATGCTCTATCCACTGAGCAAAACTGGCTGGGGCTCTGTTCTCTATGTTATATGCAGTTGTGTGTCTTTATAAATATGCTTGGGATTAGCACTTTTTTTTTTTTTTTAAGAAGGCTGGAGTCTCCTTACTCTTCCTTGTTTTTGTTAACTCTACCTGAGGATGGTTTGTCTGCCAGCACTGCACAACACCTGAGACAGGTATGACAGCCTGTCTGCCAGTGGTCAGGGGACCATGGGCCTAAGGTCGCTGCTGTAGAATGAATGTTGGTGCCCCTCCCAAATTCATATGTTAAAATCCTAACCCCCAAAGTGGGGGTTTAGAGGTGATGCCTTTGGGAGGTGACTAGGTCATGAGGGGGGAGCCTCATGAATGGAACTAGTGTCCTCATAAAAGAGCCCCAAATCCCTTCCATCAAGTGAGGACAAAGTGAGAAGAGGGCAGGCCCTCACCAGACACAGAATGTGCCGGTGCCTGGATCTTGGGATTTTGTTATAGCAGCTCCCGCAGATTAAGACAGGTGTAATGGGCCAGCCCTCAAGTTGGCCTATGACCACTACAGGTCACACCCTGAGGATGCACAGGACAAGGGAGCTGCCTACCTCGAGGGAGAGCACTGGCAGGCCTTCCCGGGGCCCCTGTGATGACATTCCTGGCCTCGGACCTGTGGATGCAGATTCACAGGGTGTCTCCTTCACTTGGCTGTGGTCACTGCAGGTAGGGCCCCTGGCACCCCAGGTGACTTTATGAAGTAAGTCTCTCTCGATCATCTTCCTTCTCTCTTTTCGGAGGGCTCTCCGGTTTGCAGAGTCTGAGCCCTTCTGAACACAGGGGACAGCATTTGGATCCATCCTCAGGTCTTCTTCTGAGAGACAGAGGGTGGCTTCTCCCTGCGGCCCCCAAGGAGGACTCGGGGATCCTTTGGTGTTGAAAGACATGTCTCCAAGGTCACCTTCCTGCCATGTGGGGGTCTCCTCAGGCATCCTAAGAGAGCTGCTCTCACCACCACTCTCCAAGGGCTGGCCAGGGTCCTTTCCTTCCTTCATCCTTACGTTCCATTCACCCCAGGGCTCTGCTGAGAACTCCACAGGTACCACAAGTGGCTATTGAGAAAACAGGTGTCCTCAGTTAGCAGCCTCAAAAACATACTTTAGGGAAGTTTTTTAAAAATTGTGGCATGTCTATAACAAACTTTGTCATGTTAAATATTTTTAAATGTTAAGTTCAGTGGCATTAAATACATTCATAATGCAGTGCAATCTTCACCATTGTCCATTTTCTAAGCTCTTTCATTTTGTACCCCTCCCCCCAAAAAACCCAGAAACTCTATACCTCCACTTGTCTAGCCCTGGTAAACTCTAGTCTACGTTCTGTCTCTAAAAACTTGTCTATTCTAGATATGTCAATGAAGTAGAACCATATACAGAGCCCTAGCTGGTTTGGCTCAGTGGATACAAAAGCTGTCTGTTCTTTTGTGCCCTTTCACTTAGCTCAGTTTCCAAGGTTCATCATGCTGTAGCATGTGTCCGTACTTTATTCCTTTCAGTGGACTGAATAATATTCCACTGTATGGCTAGACCACATTTTATCCCTTTTGTTTGTTGACGGACACGTGGGTTGCTCCCACCTTTGGCCACTATAAATAGACTACATAGCTATTAAGGGGTGGATAAGATAAAACCCAGGCCCTTTGATTCTAGAGCAAGCCCATGGCTTGACCCCCATAAATTGGTACAGACTTTTCCATCTTGAATTTTTAAAAAAATCATCCAGAAGAATTGCTGAGGTAATCATAGAAATGAAGAAAAACCCTGGTCTTAAGTGTGCTGGGCTCCTGGAATTGTATTATGTACAAGGCTGGTAGATGTTTGGTGTCTGAACTCCTTGGGTTGTACCTGGAGAAAGGCTTGGGTGTGCAGAGATGCTGGACCAGGGGTTCTGACCTCTTTAACTCACACTGCTGTTAGAATCCGGTGAGAGCCAGGGACGCTCACTCCCACACCCTGTTCTGCCAGCAGGTTCCCTGGAGCCTGCATTCCACTGACCTCAGGAGGAGACCTGTTGGCCGGAGCGACCCAGGCCCCATCAGGGTCTTCAGCCAGCTCCTCTGACAAGTCTGGAATCAGGGTGGTTTGATTTCGCTGGTAGATGAACAGCTCCTCTTCTCCGCAGTCTGACTGTGGACAAGAGAGCTCAGGGATTACCTGGCAGGGGGTAGAGCCAGGGGGGCCTTGCCCCATTTACCCCATTCTGCCCTGCCTCCCCGGACAGTAGGGGCAATCAGTTCTCTCCCAAAGGGCCTTGCCCAGTGCTGGTTCCTGTTGCTGATTTAGAAAAGTAAGCTCAGCAGCACCACCTCGTGGAAGTGAGATCCTGAGTTCCCAGTTCTGCACATACCTGCCATCCTTGACATTGCACGGCAGGTGCTTAGTTAATGCCTGGTGCGAATGAATTGGGTACTAAAGTGGTAGCTAAAAGAGCAGAGTCCAGCTTTTCCCCTCCCCCATGACTTGAACCATCCTTTAATGACATGGAGCCTTCATTTGTCGCCTCTAAGGTAGGGTGGGGAAGGCACTTATAGTCACCTGCCCACCTCACAGGAGTATTCTGAAGAGAGCAAATGAGATTGAAGATGTGAAAAGGCACTGGGGTTGCATTATCTACTCCCTATTAGCCTTGCTGTGCACTGGAAGATCTCGGGTGGAAGCTGTGTCATTTTCATTTTTGCAGGTGCCACAGGTAAGATCCAAATCTGGCTTGTTATTTCTAAAACCTTTCTCTACATGCCCAGCTCCAACCTGTGTATTTGACATCCACTGCTGAGCTCCTACCTGGTGCATCACCCACTTTGCTCTGTTTGTGGGGTCGTTGTCACATTTACATGTGTGCACATGCCTAATTTCCACTACATGGAGAAGATGGTACAACTCACTTAAACTTAAATTCAGAGTCACTTTTGCCACCCAACATTCTCTTAGTAGGTAGAAACTAGAAGCACAATGACCATCATGGTGAAGCAAGGCCCACCACAGTGTATAACGTTACAAAGGCCTCCTGGTCCTTGAAGAGGCTGAGTAGGCTCTAATCATGGTGAAGCAAGGCCCACCACAGTGTAAAAGGCCTCCTGGTCCTTGAAGAGGCTGAGTAGGCTCTTTAAATGTTTGTTGAATGAATGCATGTGATCAATAAGAAAAGTACTATGGCCTGGACAGCGTGGCTCAGTGGTTGAGTGTCGACCCATGAACCAGGAGGTCACAATTTAATTCCTGGTCAGAGCACATGCCCAGTAGTGGGCTCAATCCCCAGTGGGAAGCATGCAGGAGGCAGCCGATCGATGATTCTCTCTCATCATTGATGTTTCTCTCTCTCTCTCTCCCTCTCCCGTCCTCTCTCTGAAATCAATAAAAACGTATTTTTTAAAAAGAAAATTACTATGTATTATACATTCACCATGTCCCAAGCACTGTGCTCAAAATTTAATTATTTAATCCTTACAACAACTTACAATGTGGAGCCTTGGTCTTTAACTCTTACATGATGTACCTCTCTGTTTATCACCATCTTCCATAAAGCAAATGGGGGTGTTTGCCAGGATGAGAAAAACACTAGGATGAAGCCCTAGCTGGGGGCTCAGTTGGTGAAGCATCCTACTGTGCACCAAAAGGTTGCAGGTTCAATCCCTGGTCTGGGTACATATGGGAGGCAGCCAATTGATGTTTCTGTCTCCTATGAATGTTTTTCTCTCATATCGATGTTTCTCTCTCTCCCTTCCTTTCTCTCTCAAAATCAGTAAATATGCCCTATACGGGAGGCAGCCAATTGATGTTTCTGTCTCCTATCAATGTTTTTCTCTCATATCGATGTTTCTCTCTCCCCCTTCCTTTCTCTCTCAAAATCAGTAAATATGCCCTTGGGTGAGGATTTAAAAAATACCCTAGGATATGGGTGACTTTGTTAACTCTATTAGTTGAGCACCCATTCTGGGCCAGGCCCTTTACATACAGAATCCCAAATTTGTACCAGTGATAACTGCCCACAGGTTACATGGTAAGTTAGCTACTGAGTAGAAATGGGGACCCAGGTCTGCTTGATGCTGATATTCCCGCTATCCTCCTCTGCTGAGGTGCTTTCTCAACGCTCTGTTGAGCCAGAACTTGGCTGGAACCACCACTGAGGGTGGCTACCATTTCAGTGCACTGTGATAAGCCCTCAGAGGAATTCTCCAGTTGTCCTTTGGGGTCACTAGTAAGACCCAGGAGGATGCTGAGCACTAATAAATATATTCAGAGAACAAAAACACTGATGATGAATGCAGAGCTAATAAGCTCCATAGCCATCCATGCGCCAGCATCACATTTGTCATGGGAAAGGAAGAGCAATCAGGGCTTAAGATGACATGGGAAGAAGGTACTTTACTTACCAAAGAGGAATCCGAGTCCAGAGACGGAAGCTGCTCCCTGACAGCCTCAAGAATGGCCTTCCAGGGCCCCATCTTGGAGGCCCACGGAGAGGGCAGTGAGGGCCCCACATCTTTGTCTTGGGATGCCATAGGGGCCTGGGCTCAGAGGAAGTTTCTCAGTGTGCCATCATCCAAGGAACCCTATAGAGGATGCGGGGTGAGGTGACAGGATCCAGGGACCAGGAGTCAAGAGCTGGGGCGGTGGTGGTAGGGGAACAGGAGGTGCCTTTTCAAAGAATCTACCACTTTGAGGGGGATGAAAACTGACTCACAGACTACCTACCCCATTTCCCTTCTGGTTCTGCAGGTTCCTGTTATTGAGTGTGAGGCACTGTGCCCTGCACTGTGTGTGCGCGCACGCGCAGTGCAGTATGGAGACCGAAGATATATGTATATGAAGTATATAGTGATATATGATAATATATAGGTATTGATAATTATGTACATAAGTATATGATATATACAATGATATATGTATATACATGATATATAGATAATATAAACTATATATATCTCATATAACATAGATACTATTATCTATATTTCATAGGTTCAGATAAGTTATATTGTTTGTAAATGGGAAAGAGAATTTGCATCAAAATTAGAGGGGATTTTAGGCCCCACTAACTTTTACTGTTCCCTTACAAAGGAATAGACTAGAGACATTTTGGAGTCCCTAGGATATATATATTTTTTGAGTCATCACTCATTTTAACCCTCATACCAAGGCACTGAAGCAGCCCCCCCTTTTGTATCCCAGTCTAAAAGGAAAAGGCCCAGCCCCTCATGGGTCAAAGGGGCTTTAGGAATGTAGGATGATGTACTTCAGAGCCAGTGCCTGGAAAATCCTTGCAGCCTGAGGCAGCAGTGCCTATAAAATGGGAAGAGAACACTCCTGCTCCAGCCCTAGCTGGCTGCCACTCTGCATCAAGGCTCCCATCAGTGTAGCAGCAGTGGGCTTCTTGCTTTTTCTGTGCTTACAGGAGTGGGGACAGGAGTTTGGTGCACCCACTACTGGAAACTGCAGAGTGTGGACGCATGTAGTACATACATCATGGGATGTTCTCTGGCTGCAGGGCAGATCAGAGGACAACAGAACCACGTAGGTGAAGGGGACTACCAGAGTCTGATAAGTTCTTTAGGTGGACAAGGCAATGAAGGGGAAGGGGAAGGCATTGGGCTGCAGGAGAACATGTAGTGTCTCAGAGGAGTGAAAATTGCCCAAAAAGTTTGGGGTGGGAAGGTGTCAACTGCTGGACTTTGTGGTAAAAACGGACCAGATCGTGAAGGGTCCTGAACGCCAAGCTGAGGAGCTTGGCTCATCCAGCAGATGAGGGTTAAACCAAATGCTACACAAACTGGCATCCCAAGTTTCCTTAACTGCTGGACTTTGTGGTAAAAACGGACCAGATCTCCTGAACGCCAAGCTGAGGAGCTTGGCTCATCCAGCAGATGAGGGTTAAACCAAATGCTACACAAACTGGCATCCCAAGTTTCCTCGGAATCCTGACTCTGAATCCACGTCCGTTTCTTGGCTGCAGCCCGTTAGTCCCGCCCAAAGTCCCACCCCTGCCATCCCTACCACTGGCGGGTGGTTGTCATGACAACTAGACGCCAACGGCCTCCCCGGTCAGGCTTTTAAATGCTAAAGCTCGGAAACCGGAAAACCCAGCGTCTGTCCTGACACACACTCCCAACCCCTGTCTCCTCCGCGTCCCGTCCAACTCCCGACATTTATCTCTGCAGCTGCGGCAGGCCCGAGGCCCCTCACCTCAGGCCTCCGCCTCGGCTGCCCTCCCAACGCCGTCCTGACAGGGCTATAAACCGCCTCCAGCGCGTCCCTCCGGTCGCTTTCGTCCCCTTGGGCCGCGGCGCAACTACTGAACCTTTCACCGCCTTCGGACTACCCCCTCAGGGGAGTCTTACTTTACCGACTGCCAACCGCCCCTCTCGCCCCCCCCCAACCCCCCCGCCTCTTTCGGGGCTTGGCGCGTCTTGCCTCTTTTGCAATAGGATTGGTTGCTATGGTCAGAGAGGGGCGGGGCAGGCGCACTCTCCCAGCTCATTGGTTGCAGCGGGCGTCCTACAGAGAGCCGGGCGAGCTGACGGGAAGGTCCGGGTGTGGAACCGGCGAATTCCACCGCGCCCAGAGCTGCTCCCCGATTCCGCGAACGTCCCGGCGTGCTCCGCGCCTCCGCAACCACTTCCGGG